CCCCCCTCCCTCCAACATCACGACCACCCCAAAGAAAGAGACGACGTCGTCCGACACTACACCTGTGCTGTTGGGACTCCACGACTATCTCAAGCTACGTAGCACTTCACGGCGTCAGCCTCCATCGCAACCAGTGTTGAAGAAAGCTGTTTCTCACCCGACGAAAACCACTAGGTATCTCCGCTCACCTGGCACCAAGGCTAGAAGCGCCGCGTTTTCCACAAGGCTACCGAGCGGCCTCTTCGCTCGCGGCGGTGCTTGGATCTACAGAAAGGATCGGATCCAATGAAACGGACAAGATTCGGAGGTGGGTGGGGGAGGTACGCAACGTGTGACCGCTTCGCCAATACAGTAGATGCAGCTGTTTCGGGTCAGCTGTCCTCGAGCATTGATAACGCGGAGAATNGGGGGGGGGGGGGGAGTACGCAGCATGGAGCGCTTCGCGTATAGATACAGCTGTCTGGGTTTGTCAGCCTCGCACATTTGATGTACAGCTGTCGTACTGCCCTCAAGCATTGAAAACACGGGGAATACGAAGCACAACAATGTCTTTTCGACGGCCAGTTCTGTTCAGAGACGGTGAGTTCTCCTGACAAAGAAAATCATCTACACTCTCCGAGCCGACGGCCGGTCGGGGGCCACCCGGGTGGTCAAGGGGTGGCGTGTGCCATGCTGATGTTTTCGTAGCAAGCACTTCGACGAACGCCGCTCGCCGGAAGAGCACGGGGGGGGAGGGGAGGGGTGAGTCGCAGCGCAACTGCGATCGAAAGACGGAAACAAGTGCCAGCCTCCACCATTTGAGTCTTCAAAATCCCGCTCAGTTAAATCCTCCCATGAGTCCCTTAATATGCTCGCGACTCATGGCCCCGGTGTATTCCTGTGCCGCTATCAAGTCACAGCAGTGCCGCAAGTCAAGGGTTTATTCAGACGAAAGCATATCACGCCTTGAGACAACCAGGCTCTCGCGCATGCCACCCTGCTTGCCGCTACCCGACAGAGAGCGGTGGCGAGCAGGGTGGCATGCGCGAGGGCCTGGTTGAAACAATGCGTCCTTTGCGCTCGCCAGAACATTGGATACGCGGTACTGCTGTTATAGTGAATTGAGGGGTTGAAACAAAAGCGTCATTTGGCGTTCACTACAAGAAACACCGGACACGCGGCATTGCTGATACGCTATTGACTTGAGGGTGCTACGGGAATACGAGGGGGGCGCGTCTCCGTAGGATACCAGGGACCCATGGGGAGGATGGGACTGAGCTGGAGTTTAAGGGTATGATGGAGGCTGACACTGCTGTTTAGGGGAGGTTGGTTGTCGAGATGTTTTGGACAAAGCTGGGGCTGGCTCCTGGCATAGCTGCACGCTCAAGGTCAAAAGCCCGGGTTACTGCTGCTGAAGTACGTCCCATCTCTCCTTCGTCCGAAGCAAAACAGTTTCTTTCAACACGAAGCACAAATACCAACAACAGCCCGAACGAAAAAAACAGCAGACTAACCATGAACCGATATCACCATACCACCACCACCAACAACAACAACAACAACAACAACAACAACAACAACAACAACAACAACAAACAATCTCACTTGTTACGGCCGCACCCGCTCCCTCCAGCGCCCCCCTCTCGCCCCCCTTGTCCTTGGCCATCTCCAGCATCTCCTCCACCAGCCCCGCCGCCTTCACCCCCCTTCCGGCCTTCTGGCACGCCGATATTGCCGCGGACAGCGTGCCCGAGTCGCGCACTAGCCCCTTCCCAGGCATCTCGTCCAGCAGGTCCAGCGCTTCCTGCCACTTTCCGCTCTTGCCGCACGCCGTTATGGCCGCGTTGTAGCACGACACCGTGGGGGGAACCCCCGCCGCCTCCATCTCCCCCAGCAGAGACGTGGCCTCGCTCCAGTTCCCGCACTCTCCGGAGGCGCGGATCGCCGAGAGATACCCCGTGAGTCTCGGGGTAATACCGGCGCTCGCCATGTCGCGCTGGATTTGGGCCACCAGGTGCCCCTGCCCCCCATTTCCGCACGCCAGGATTACGGCCGCGTACGTCTGAACAAAAAAAAGAAAGACAACAAGACCAGACAACAAACAAAGGAGGTCGAAAAAGAAGAAGGAAAAAAAATCAACCCAACACAACATAAAGCGACAATGACAAGTTGTCCCGCACGCCAGGATGACGGCCGCCCCACGTCTAAACAAAAAAGAAGGAGGTCAAAACAGCAGAACCAAAAAAAAGCAAAGACGGTCCCAAAAACAATTGCCCTAGAAAATGAAAACGACGAAACCTTTGTTGTGGCGACGAAGGGCAACAGGCCGTCCTCCTCCTTACACAACGAAACTGTAGGTAAGAATCGGATGGAAAGCACCATACGGATGCCACGAGGTTATCTGGGCTTAAATAGTGTCTTGGAGGTTTTCCCGCCCCTTTGCACTAAAAAAATAACTACGCACAGGAGCACGCGTGACATCAGTTCACCGACCTGGTTCCTGATTGAACACCTACGCTAAATACACCATGCGAAAGAGCGCCGTTATTCTTCACCGACCGACCTGTTCGTTAGGTTCGATGCCGGCCTCTTCCTTCATCTCGCGCAGCAGCTCGAGGGCGAGATCCACCTCCCCGCAGTGCGCCAGCGCCGACACCGCCGAGGTGTACCCCACCACGGTGGGCTGGATGCCGCTAGCGATCATGGACCTGTGTCCAACGTTCGTGGGAAAGAAATGGCAAGACGGTGATCGTGAAACCAATGGCGGCGGAGGTGTGTACCCGACAACGGCCGGCTGGATGCCGCTAGCAATCATGGACAACCGTGTCCGTCGTCGGAGGTTAAAAGAAATATATGGTCGTGATATTTATTTAGTCGGTTTTCCTCCACTCAACGGAAAAGACTCCACCACGTCCCGTTCAAATGTGGGTATATCTCGAACGGGTAGTGTTTCTGTGTGTGGTATCTATTTTTCCTAATAATTTATTTAGGCTGGATTCGGTTGGCGATCGTGGACCTGTGTCGTTGACATCGACAGTGGAAAAATAATGAAAAATCGTCGTGAGTGTTTCGTTGGTACCACATTTCGTGTCTGTGTGTACCAAGGTTTTCGGAGTGTACGCTATTATGGTCATAGGAGACGATGAGCACCATCGACGGGGGTAGTAGGTAGTGCGGTGCCAACTCCGGAGATTGGCTTCGTGGACTAGGCAACGGACCCCCCAACAGCAACAGCAGCAACGACAACAGCAACAGCAACAGCAACAACAGCAGCAACAAGAACAAGAACAAGAACAGCAACAACAACAACAACAACAGCAGCAGCAGCAGCAGCAGCAGCAGCAACAGCAGCAACAACAACAGCAACAACAACAGCAACAGCAGCAAGATAAACACCACCACCATAGTGTTGCTGTCGGTCTTGGTGGTGCATGCATCGGTGGTCGTGTTACCAACAACAACAAATCGAACGCTTTTTCACGCCGGGGCTAGGCTAGGCTGGCCGCTAACCTGAAGGTGGCCACGGCCCGCTCCCACTGCCCCCCGATCCCGCACCCCGTGATAGCGGCCGTGTAGCAGAACTCGTTCGGCGTCAGCCCTAGAGCGGGCATCTCGTTCAGAAGGGCCTGAACAATGCCCCACACCAATTGCGCAAGGGATAAGTTAGGTATCAGCAGCGTCTCAAAAGCTGCCCTCCAGCGGGTGCTGGTACTAGCAGAACTCGATCGGCGCGAGCTCTGAGGAAGGCATCTCGTCCAGTAGAGCCTGATATCTGATATCCCTCCCCCAAAAACAAAAATCGGGCAAGGTCAAGTTAGATATCAGCAGCGTCTCGAAAGCTACCCTCTAGGGGGGTGTGTGGTGAACACCCAGGGAAGTTTGGTTGTCGACCCACAAGTAGCCTGATTCCTTGTAACTAGGCATGTTGGATAAAGCATGCAATTGGTGAAGTTGTTTAGGGTTAGGCACGTAGGGTCTGCGTACCCCCCCTCCCTGTCCTATTACCTCAAAAACTTGAAAATCTCGCGAAACACGGTCCAAATAAGAACTACAACAACAAACACCCTCACCAGCCCTTGCTCCCACCGCCCGTCCTTCCCACAGGCCGATATCGTAGCCGAGTACGAGAACAAATTGGGGGTCACCCCCGCCGTCGGCATCTCCCTCAGCAGCAACAGCGCCTCGTCCCCCTTGCCAGCCTCCCCGCAGGCCCGTATCGCCGCCGTGTAGCAGATCACCGTGGGGCTCACTCCGGAGCCCTGCATCTCCCTCAGGAGGGACAGCGCCTGCTCCCAGCGGCCGGCGTGTGCGAGGCCGGTCAGGGCGGAAGAGTAGGTGATGGCGTCGGCGGCGACGCCCGCGCGGGGCATCTCCCTCATGAGGCGGACCGCGTCGTCTGGCCGCCCGCTGTTGCTCAGGGCCGCGATGGCCGAGTTGAAGGTGATGACGTCGGGTTTGAGGCCCTTCTCTGGCATCTCCCGGAGGAGGGCTAGCGCCTGTCGGTCCAAACAACCACGCACATAATACACCAAGGGACAACACAAACATACATGAGACGATGAGAGGCCCACCTTCCGCGAGACATTGGGGTTTATGAGGAGCACACAACAGGAAGGGGGTAGGCAGCAGACCCTGCTCTCCCTAAGGCAACTTACGCCGATTGCAAGCTACATTATATCCAACATGTTTTCGCATGTAATAGAAACACCCTCGGAAGGGTACTGGACCATGACGGGCGTCTCTCTCTCGAAGAAGAAGGGCGAGCGCTCGCGTGCGGTGCTCGGGTATTCGGTCCACCAACACACAATGTATATATGTGAGTACCATATACCAAGGGACACAAAAAAAAGGTGCTCGGGTCGTTGGTCTAGAAAACATACTTTTTGAAGTATTGCACCATTTACCGAAGGGACAAGAAAATATGGTGCTCGGGTGGTTGGTCCAACACACATGATTGTACCATATAGCAAGGGACAAACAAAAAATGGTGATTGGGTCGTTGGTCCAACACACATCTGGTACGAACTACCAAGGGATATAACACAATAAACGACGATGGCATGACTACAGCGGGAGGTGCAGGCAGACACGCGCGGTCCACGAGCTCAAGAAAGCGTGCGAGCAAGGCAACCTTCTGCCTTGCTGCTGCTGCTGCTGCTGCTGCTGCTGCTGCTGCATAGACCATCCAAGCGCCATGTGACGACTGTGACCTACCTCGTTCCTACCAGGGGGTCGAGTGATTGGAACACCGACCTATTATAGCTGTACATAGGCCAGAAGGGGGGGGCGCGTCAGCGGTTCATACCGCTGTGTACACTGCTAAAATTTCACAGGCACAAAAGCGGGTGCCCGCGACTGCACAGACAGCGGCAGAACCCGAACACTCCATCACCATCTCTGCCGTCACGCAATTCATTCATCGGCATTGTTATGGGCAGGCGGGCAGGCACCCGGCGCACTGCTGACGGGCGGCCCAATCAACTGCCGCTTGTACTGATGGAGTTTCCACACATAGGGCAGATCAGATAGATCCCTACAGATCGAGCTGGCTCTTTCGAAGGGTGTGTCCCGGTAGGACATAGTGTATGTCATGGGTGCCCGAGTTGATCTGCAAGACGTACAGGTGATCCGTGTACTGTTGCTTCACAAGGACGCGGCGAGTTAGCATTCATGATCTATTGAAATGTTTGGATTTGTCGCACCTGGTCTCCCTCTCCGCACTTGCCGCAAGCCGAGATGACCGTGTTGTAGCTGATTACAACGGGCTGGACGCCGCGTTTGGGCATTTCGCGCAACAAAGACAACGCCCGCTCCCACTGCTCGCCCACCTGTGTCGAGTGGGGGGGGGGGAAGGAAGGGGGAAAATTCCAGCTGGGCTCTCGCTTT